GATGTGTCGAAGTGTTGTAAGCAGGTTGCTATACAGTTTTGGTTTAGATTTGATTTAGGTCTAAAATAGGTATTTTGAGCTTTTTATAGTTTTGAGTTTTTTAGCTTAGGGATAAAGCAAACTCAATTATAAATAGAGAGAGTAACTCTTATTTTTGTAATCAATTCATTCATTCACAGTATTTGCAGTCTGCAAGTGAATAATAAAGTTTTCCACAGTTTATAGGCAGAGAGTTACTCTGCATAAATCCTAACTCTTTTCTTCTTTAAATTTCTTTTTTTTTCATTGTCATTGTATGATGATAATAATCTAGTTCATCAAAATTGATAGAAATTTATTATATATTGTGGTGGATTTCTAACAATAAAAAATGGAGAAAAAACTGAAAATTAAAAAAGTATCTAATGAAAATTTCACAGTTGACATCATTTAGTTGAATTGGAGTGAATCAATTGAAAAATTAAAGACATTATTGATAGTGATGTTTATTGGGGGAAAATACTAGGAGTATTGATGCATAATGTAGGAACAAACACCTTTGTGAGAGACACACCACTTATCCACCTAAAACCTTAAGGTGATATGTGAGTGGGTTCTCTCACTTATATATGCTTAAGTCTCCACATTTTAAGTCTCCAATAAGTGGTGTGTCTCTCACAAAGGTGCATGTTCCTACACTATGCATCAATGCTCATAATAATCACCCTCCAACAATGTTGATTATAAATTATTATTATTACTATTATTATTATTATTATTTATTATTATTATTATTATTATTATTATTATTATTATTATTATTATTATTATTATTATTTAGATGAGTAGTTTGATAATTGAAATTTACGTGATTAAAGATGAATAAATAAAATATTATATATTCGAATATACATTTTTACATTTGATATCTCAACATAACTACCAACTAAATTATTTTAACAGAAAAAAAAAAAAAATTTAATAGAACTGTGTGATGTTGATCAGTCGGACACAAGCTTAACTCGTGAAGACATAAACTCCATGACTGCAGCAAATCGCAGTTTCTTTAAAGTCTTTAATAGTATATGTATTTAAAATTTTAATTTAACAAAAACCCAAAATTAAACTATTACTTGTCAATTTTATATTATGATGATGATAAGCCCACCTCACACGTGTTTTTGTCGTTTAGGAAAAGTTAGGGCCCATTCATATAAAAGTTGCCACATTTTGCAGTATTCTGCTTTGGCAATGGGGTCCACCAGTCAGTGATGACGAGTAGTGGGTCCTACCTTTATGCTGAATCTGTCTTTCTCTCCCATCCATGCCCGTCTGTCACAGGTCGGCACCTGTTTCAAAAAATGACTTTCTTAAGATAGGACATATATATATATATATATATATATATATATATATATATATATATATATATATTCATGACCAAGTACTCAATTTATGTAAATTATAAAAGAAATCAGAAGAAATATACACCACTATTGTTTAAGAAATTAATCTACAAATATTTTGCTAAAAACTGTGTACTCCTCTTTTCGTTGTTGATAAATATTGTTAGCAATATTTTAAATTTTAAGGAAATGTGAATTTGTGTCTTTCAGATTAATGTTATTGTAGTAAGTGCTCTTGATATTCATGCCTTTTATTTTTATTTATATTTTAGAGTTCTTTAAGATGTGTTCTTAGAATATAAGTTAGATTACAATTTGATCATTCTATTTTAATTGATTTATCAAATTATTTATCCAATTTTGGATTCTATTAATTTTAGTTTTTTTTATATAAATTTTTAAATTAAGATGTGTATATTGTAAATTATATTTTCTTAAATAAGAAAAATCAGCATATAATTTTTTTAATGAATTTTAAAAATTAAAAATTAAAAATATAAGTAACTTAATATTTCATTTCTGTTTAATTCTTTAATATTACATCAGTAACATATTATTTCAATGTCGTGTCAAATATTTGAGAAATTCTATTTAAGAAGTTAGAATAAATTTTAACTGAAATAGAATTTTTTTGAAATATTATTTATTTATAAATTAATTGTACAATATGTATATGAACGCTCTTTTTGTGCCATAATTTATTTATTCAAAAGTATAAATGGGCTCCAAATATCATATTTATTATATTACTGTCTATTTCTCTCCCTATGTCTCAATATATTTAACTTATAAGAATGTTTTAAAAGTGGTTTTTATAAATTACATTTTTTTTGTTGTGTTTACACATGTCTCGGCTAAGGTAAAATATGTACAAAAGTGACTTCTTTTATGCACCCATCGAAGTGATTCACATTTTTGCACTACCAATATCTGTTGAAATAAATAAATATTTGTTTTTTTTCAATAAATAGAAATACAATTGATTCTAAAAGCTTGTCATTAATTTAAAATATTAAGTGTTATTAGATAAAAAAATATTTTTTGTAAATTGAATTGAAATATAATAAAAATATTAAATTAGAGATTTTTATTTTTATTCACGAAAATAATTTTTATATTTTATTTTTAAACAATATTAGTCCCTTTCATTTAGACTTTTAGAATTTATTGTAAAATTTAGAGCTTACGTAGTTAGGGAGGTGAAAAACTTGGTGTTCTCAACATCAAGATTGAAATATTTATAGAAATTGAGGTATTTAGAGATGCACTAGATTTAACATTTATTTGGTATATTTAAAAACTATAATGGAACCGCACATGGTATAAGAGTTAATAGTTGTAGCTTTACATAAAAATTTACGGTGGAGAGGATAAACACATGCGATAGTGATAACATGCATTGCTACGAAACATACACTTAGATCTTAGGTCCATTGGAAGTAGCAATCACTTATAAGATAATGTGGAAATGAACAATTAATTTTTTATTATTCAAGAGAGTGAGGTTAATTTTCCCCTTATTTCTTCCAAACCGTTATGGATAAAGCATACATCACTTTTCACATTTGTATATTTTGGGTGAATCGCCAAAAAATAAATGTGTATTTGAAGAAAGGGCGTTACATTATGTAAATTGACACTTATCTAAAAAATAGATGATCAAGAAAACATTAAAGGAAAATGTTACATCAATTGTCTCCTATGCCGTCTCTTATGAAGCCTTCAAATATATATCAATATAAATCCAACATAGTAGATGTTTAGAGCACAATTTAACTACAATGAAAGAAATGGATCTCTTAGGCCATATAATTCTTTCACGGGGATTATGTTAAATTTTTCTAACCTTAACTAAGTAACGTTCATCTTCGATAATTAAAATTACTAATTTATAACTCTTCACACAAAGAATTGAAAGTTGATTCAGCGAAATATTTTAACATTATTAATTATTTTTACAAATATTTAACTATTTTAGATTTTGTTTATTAATTTTGAGCGATGAAGACATTTTTGAAGAGAGTGGTTGAATTCAATTTAAGGGTGATAAATTATTAAATTTTCATTGAATCAATATGATTTATTAAACTATTTATAAATTCAATCAAAGTTTAAATGATTAGATATAAAAATTATTCAATATATTCTTTATTATCTTTTCAATAGGTAAACATCTATTCAATTCAGAAAACAATATTGATAATAATAATAATAATTTATTAATTCAAAAATAATTTTGGATTTTTTTTCAAAATTAAATTTATTTTAAGGACAATATCTTTTGAAAATATAATTGTTGTAGTTATTGATGGCTAAAGATAAAGGTGGTAAAGGGGCATGTCAGCCTCGTCCGTTTAGATTTATTTTGTAAAAATCAGTTAAAAATAGAATGGAATGGGACATACGTAATTAAAGATGCGAGTTTAAAATTTAATTCCGTCCTATAAAAAAAGTGAAGGTCGAACTGAGAAAATTCACGGACATTACATTTTTAAGTTTAAAAATACAAAAATTTATAAAAATACATGTATCTGTAAAAACCCACGTTAAAAATAGAGTGAAACAAAACGAACACATTAAAGAATAAAGATCTAAACCCTTAACTCGTCTCATATTAAAATCCGGACAAAACAACTATACCCAACTAATCAAGTCCATTCTATTACCCCAAACTAAAGATGGTAAAACGACAGCTTGGACAGAGGTGATCGACTACTGGTATTGTGGAGGTAGATAATTCCAAAAGCCGCTATATGTTTTTTTACAACATAGCGTGCAATAACACTTATCTCAAACTGATATAAAGTTCTTCTATAATTTTTTTCACATAATTATTTTATTTTAATATACCAACAACAATTAGTAATAAATAATGAAAAACATTTAGAGATAAATATATTTAAATATTTTTTAATAAATAAAAATAAGAAAAAATTATATATATATATATATATATATATATATATATATATATATATATATATATATATATATATATATATATATATATATATATATATATATATATATATATATATATATATATAAAGAAATTATACCATTATAATATTTTAATTTGATAAAAAACATAAACCATAAATAAGTTTTTTCCATAAATAATAAACTTGATTGGCTTTAAACGATTTTGTTGACTTAATTACACAGCCAGAAATATCGCCTTTACTAAACGGTCGAAAAACCGGAAACCACCACCGGACACAACCGGTACCCAAAACTTGCATTTACATTGAATTTGGGTTCATTTCAATGCAAACTAACCACGGTACCACGCTCCACCTAACCCTAGTCAGAATCTAACCCCGGTTCGGTTTATATAAACACACTCCAAATTTACATCGCCACTGGTTCACCCCTCCAAACACACCATCACCATCACCATCACCATCACCACCCTTCCACTCTTTTCCTCTACACACTTCTTGTAACACCGTCTTAAAACAGTGATGAAAGAGCATTGAGATTTGAGTGTGTTGTTTCGTATGAATTGTTTGATGGATGAAGAAGGAGAAGCGGTGAGAAAACAAGAACATGTTGTTGTTGATGATGTTAACTTGTATAGCTAGTTCTTCTATTTTTTAAGATCCATTTTCACTCATGAAGAGACTCACCACCTCAGATTCTTCATCTCCTCTCATCACAATCTCTCCCTCAACAGGTTCGTTAATTAATCTCTACAATAATGTTTGCGAGTTTCAGACACAGATCTATGTTTCTTATTTTGGAAGACACTTTTAGAGTACTACTATGTTTTACTTTCACGTCGGTTATAGCAATTACTGTTGTATTTGTATACTAATTCTTATAATGATTATGTTTTTGTTTACTTGGTTCAGAAGAACATAGTCCGAGGAACAAACATGTGTATGGTATGGAGTTTCAATCCATGATGTTGGATGGATTTGAAGAGGAAGTTTGTGTTGAAGAAGCGGGTCATCATTCAGAGAAGAAACGACGACTGAGAGTGGATCAAGTGAAGGCTTTAGAGAAAAACTTTGAAGTTGAAAACAAGCTTGAACCTGAAAGGAAGGAGAAGCTTGCCATAGAACTTGGGTTGCAGCCCAGACAAGTTGCTGTTTGGTTTCAAAACCGGCGGGCAAGATGGAAGACAAAACAGTTGGAACGAGATTATGGTGTTCTTAAAGCTAATTACGATGCTCTTAAGCTCAAGTTAGATGCAATTACACAAGACAACAAAGCTTTTCATAAGGAGGTACTACAATACTTATATAAGTGATTATGATGATATAATTTATATGTAGCACTTACACCTCTGAAAAACATGTCTTAAAATTATTATCAATATTGTCATGTTAGTGTCAGTTGTGTTGTGTTGGGGTGTTCGTGGTTCATAGATTATGAATACATGTATTTTTGTATCATAAAGCTGAAGTAATTGTCTTGTTGTGTTTACAGATTAAGGAATTAAAATTGAAGCTGGAAGAAGAAGAAAAAAGTGCAAGCAGTGTTTTGGTGAAGGAGGAGATGATAACAATGCCTGAATCTGATGAAACCAAGCATAACCCGTCTTCGGAATCATCGATTCCTAGTTTAGAATCTAAGGATCATTTGAATTATGACAGCATGATCAACAACAACAATGAGTTTGGTGTTGGAGAAGCTTCTTCACTCTTTCCAGCGGACTTAAGAGATGGTTCATCTGACAGTGATTCTAGCACAATTTCTTCATCTGGAGGAATTCTTCAAAGTCATCTTTTGTTGTCTCCTGATTCTTCCTCCATGAATTGCTTCCAATACCAGAAATCTTATCATGTGAAAATGGAGGAACACAATTTCTTAAGTGCAGATGAGGCGTGCAATTTTTTTTCAGACGACCAAGCACCAACGTTACAATGGTACTGTCCAGATCAATGGAGTTGAACTTAATTGACACAAAATGATGAAGAGAGAAAATGGTACCTCAATTTCTTTGTAAAATAGGGACTGGTTTGGTAGCAAAACTATGGCTAGGTTTTGTTCATGTGAAGGAAAGAACAGAGAAATGGTTGGGGCAGGCTGCTTGTCCCATTAAGGATGGTTTGGGATGCTTATGGCTTTGGGATGGGGTTGAATAATTAGTAAGTGGTAATGATGAAAATCCACGGTGTAAATTATTTTAATTCAAGCATAAAAAATTGCTTTATCTTTCTATTATTTTACTTTTAAAATTAATAAAGTTCAAGTTTTTTGTTATGTTTTTTTAGGTTTTTTTTTAATCATGTCTATCTTAGTTTTTACTATAATTAGTTGGTTTTAAACTCGGATAAAAGAAGAGGATTGTGTGTTAGGCAGTCGACCATCAACATATAATTTTGTCAAATTTTTATGACATAGATTAACTATGAAATAATATGAATGTTAGGTGGTTGCAATCGTTATATAGCTCGAGAACAGTGTCAAAAGAGTAAGACCCAGCCGCTTCATTGCAGTGAAAAAGAAAGGGCTCCTACATTTTTGTTGTGTGGGTAAAAAAATTAGTTTATGTAAGTAGGATTCGTTATAAATCATGGAATATAAGTACATTTACGGAAAAATTTCAGGAAATAGTGAATATTATGGTTAAAAGGAAAATCAATTTTATGTGCTTATAAGAAACAAACTAGATAATCGAAGAAGTGAAAGAATTAGATAACTCGGGATTTAAACTTTGGTACATCAGAAAAGTTAGGTCGAGAAATGGGGTCAGAATCATTGTGGACAAGGAGTGAAAAAAGGGTATTGTTAATGTGAAAAGAGTAGGCGATCGAGTCATATAGCTTTGAAATTCATAATGGAACAAGACACCTTTATTTTCATCAGTGCTTATGCACCTCAGATTGCATTGGAAGAACACTTTAAGATAATTTTTTTGGGAGGATTTAGAAGGCTTATTTCAGGATATACTCCAAGGGAAACAACTTTTCTAGTTAGGGATCTAAATAGACATGTAGGGAGCGTAACAAGAGATTTTGAGAGCGTGCATGGGTATGGTCTAGGGAGATGAATGCGGAGGGTAAATTCATCTTGGAGTTTTCGTCGACTTTGGATATTACTACAACAATTACCCGATTTATGAAAAGAGATGAACATCTTATCACATAGAAATGGGGTGACATGTTCTCAAATGCAATTCTTTCTTGTTAGAAGGTCAGGTAGGAAGATTTGTGTAAGTTCTATGGTTTTAGGATTGACATCAATTTTTCTAAAACATGGTTCTATGAAGTTGGAACAGGTGTTCTAACATGTTGCTGAAACACTATTGAAGACAGACGTTGTGACATATGTTGCAACCTGTTATACTAGAACGTCGGTTCAGTTCTGGTTTTTAAATCTTTGTATATTGGCTTAATAAATTTGAAGATTCTGTATATTTTTGTTACTCATGCAGTCACAGCCAAACAAGGATGTTTTGAGAACTTTTCTGTTTTGATCAGGTTTCATAAAAAGGCTCATAGGAAACTTTATTTTTTAGTTCCTATTATTGCGGAAAAGATTTTGCAATTGATTTACAAGTGGAAGATTGGATTTGCGTGAAGAGTCCAAGACCATGATTGCAAGAGTCTATTTAAGAAGACATTCCAAATCTAAAGCACTTGGAGAATCCGTGAATAAACATTGTGCATGAGATAAGGGTTTAGGATTTTAGTGTGTCTTTGTTCATTGTGATCCTCTCTATTATCTTTTGATAGTAGAGGTGGACTGTTTAGTTTTTCAATCACTCAGAAGCTTTTAAGCAAACGTGGATTGTAGGTCAAGTTACCTTTTGTTCATCAATCAAAAGCTTTTAAGTAGAACTGATTTTGTCTTTGAAGAGTGTCTTCTTTCTTTTGGTTATTGTTAAGGGTTTGTCATAGGGTTGTGACTATTGAGAAGTGAGAAGAGTCTCATATCTAGAAGTGTCTCAGATAAAATTGCATGGGTAGAGATTAGGAGAGAAGGTTTGTAAACAAGGGGTTGTTTAAAGCTTCAAACTAATTCTATTTTAGTGGATTTCCTCTCTGGCTTGGTATCCCCCAGATGTAGGTGAAGTTGCACCAAACTGGGTTAACAATTACTTGTGTTATTTACTTTCAGCAACTTATATTAATTGCATAATCGTTTCTGTTATGTTTACTGATTTGATCCCATTGTCGCAACATCTGGTTCGACATCTGGAATCTGTGTTCCAGAATCTCAATTGGAATCAGAGAAGGAACTTTGTTCTTCTTAGGGTGAGGTCCAAAAAAGTTACTTTCTAGTACCATGGACAAGGAAGAATGATTAAACAACAGACCACCATTTTTATATGGCACCAACTATGACTATTGGAAGGATCGTATGATAGCATTCCTGGACTCTAGACAACAAAACTTGAAAAGCTGTCATAAAGGGTTGGAACCATCCAGTTGTGAATGACAGAGATGAGATTGAAACTTTGAAGCCAAAAGAATATTGGTCTAAAGAAGAAGATGAACTTGCTCTTGCAAATTCCAAAGCCTTGAATGCCTTATACAATGGAGTTGACAAAAACATGTTCATACTGATAAACACATGTATTGTGGCTAAAGATGCTTGAGAAATTCTCAAAACTACTCATGAAAGCACATCTAAAGTCAAGATGTCTAGATTTCAACTTCTTACTACCAAGTTTGAGAATTAAAAGATGAATGAGGATAAAACCATCCATGACTTTCATATGAACATCCTTGACATAGAAAACTCTTTTAGTGCTTTGGGAGACAAGATGATTAAAGAGAAACTGGTTATAAAGATTCTCAGATCTCTTCCTAAGAGATTTGACGTGAAGGTGACAACCATTGAAGAAGCCCAAAACATCAGCAACATGAGTGTGGATGAATTGGTTGAGTCACTTCAAACATTTGAATTAGATATCAGTGGTAACTCTGAGAAGAAAAAACAAAAGCATAACTTTTGTTTCCAACACTTAAGTGGAAGAAAGTCAATGTGATCTAGATACCGAGGAAGGGTTGTCAAATTCCATTGTACTACTTTTGAGGCAACTCAATCAAGTGTTGAAGAGATTGGACAGAAGGGCAAGACCAAATGTCAAGAACATCTCATCTAACATCAGCAAAAATTTTGATTTTCAGAGGAAAACCATAACTGAAGAGAAGTTCAGTCTTGATAGAGGTATTCAGTGTTTTGAATGTGAAGGCTTTGGTCACATTTAGTCAGAATGTCCCACCTTTCTCAAGAAACAAAAAGGGGTTTCTTTGTAGCTTGATCTGATGATGATGAATCAAAAGATGAGTCTAAAGTTGAGACAGACAAACATGTGACTGCTCTCACTGGAAGATGGGAATTCGGAGTTGAATCCTGGGATGAGAATGTTCCATATGAAGACTTGTTTGTGTCTTACATGGAACCATGTGTCAGGTGTGAAGAAAGTTGTAAGAGTGAAAAAAATCATAGGAGAATCATAGCTCAGTTAAATACTGAAAAGGAGAAACTTCTGTGTTCTATGTCTGATCCTCAAAATAAGGTAACTTTCTTGAATTCCAAACTTGACAACATGATCAAATCCTTTAGAAGGATGATTAATAGGATTGATTTAGTGAAATATGTTGGAAATATAAGTGATAATGATCAATCTTTTGATCAACAAGGTAAAGTGCATATAGAGAAGTTCACTACTTCTGAAAAGAAGAAAGTGATCGCCATGAATAACCACATGTTACAACATCCTAGAAGACATCATAAAACATTTACTAATGTCAAGTAATTACCTTGGAGATGTCACTATTGTTATGAGTATGGTCACATAAAGCTTCTTTGTTATAGATTATATGGGGTTCAAAAACCTTCAGTTCATTCTAGGGCTAATTCCTTAAGTGGAAAGAGAAGATATCAAGATAGGGATACCAACATTGTAGCCCATACTTCTTTGAAAACTTCATCTACAGAAATTTGGTACTTTATCAGTGGATGTTCTAGGCATATGACAGGGGTTCAAAAGTGGTTGGTAAATATCAGATCTCATTCCAAAGGTTTTGTAACATTTGGTGATGGATCCAAAGGAGAAATCAAAGGAGTTGGAAAGTTATTTTGTACTAGCTCTCCTAGCCTAGAAGATGTTCCTCTTGTGGAAAGACTAACTACTAATCTTATCAGCATTATCCACTGTGTGATCAAGGTCTAGTGGTAAATTTTACCAAATCAGAATGTTTGATCATAAATGAGGAAGATATTGTTCTAATAAAGGGAATCAGGTCTAAAGATAATTGTTATTTATGGGTACCTCAAGGAAATATCATCTCTTTATCATATTCAATAACCAAGAAAGGTGAGGTACAGCCATGAGACCATGATCTTGGACACCCATATCTTAAAGGTATGATGAAGTGCATATCTGAAGAAGTTACTAGGAATCTGCCAAGTATCAAGATTGAAAAGAGTAAAATATGTAATATGTGTCAAATTAGGAAGCCAGCCAAGATGTCACATCCAAAGCTGCAACATCAGGCTATGTTAAAGGTGCTAGGACTTCTTCAAATGGAGTTAATGGGACCTATCCAGGTTGATATGTCTAGTGGAAATAAATATGTTTGTATATGTACCAAAGTGAACCTTAACAAAGAAAATTCAGATATCCTTAAAGTCTTTAAAGGTATTTGCAAATGCATTCAAGGAGAACAAAGGAGGAAGATGGATTTCATAAGAAATAAAGGGATATGTCTTGGTTACTCTACAGATAGTAGAGCTTATATAATTTTTAATTCCAAACTGAAGTCATAATGAATGCTAAAATTGTTGTGGGTGATATCTTTATCATTCAAGAAGTGATTGATGTCAAGACAGATGGTGGGACATCATTTCAAAAGACCGGTGATCCAGAAGATGAGGAATACATTGAGCCAAACTGTTGTACCCCAAAATTTTCCCTCCCTTTTCTTCAAAGAAAT